AATTTAATATTAATAAGAATCTGAATGTTTGGTCACGAATTTCGTATTAACTTTCTCCCGAGGATAACAAAGATTAATATTTCTAGCTTAAGGGTATTTTGAACAACCATTCAAGCAGTAGAGAAAAGCCGGGCAACAGGATCTGAATCTTCTTTCCTTATTATGCAGTAGATTTTTAACTTTTATAGGGAACTAAAATTCCGTAGCCTTACTTAATGTGATAACTATAAAGTAAATAGCTCTTGAGTACCCTAAGAGCAATGTAAAGAAATGAAGCTGAATGAAATCACAAAAATACATTTATAAAAGTATTATTGAAATTTTGAAACGACATGGACCTTCTTTAGAAATTATAAACAAAAAGATTTTTCAGATTGTTAGTGAGACGAATATTCAGAAGTAGAAAATAAGTTTTAAAAGTATATCCATTAGCTACCAAACAAACAGCGATGAAATATTTGTAGAACAGCAAATAAAAATGTGAAAAACCTCCTCTCAAATATAGAACCAATTTAAATTTGTTAAGTGAGAGCAGAAAATTGACAAACCAGACGTTAATAGGCATGCTAGCTTAGGCTACTGGAATACGGCAAAGCATTCGACGGCTATCTAAGAGGAAAAATGTCTTCGTGGAAAGTATTCGTCTATAGTAAACTAGCTCGTATTGACTTTATATATAATACTTTAAAAAGCGTATTGACTTTATATATAATACTTTTTTTTAATATGAGGAAAATTACGAAACCACTCATGCAGCCAGTCCATTCGCTTGGAATCCAACTCCTAGTATTCAGCCGTATAAACCACTCGGCCACTGATGGAGGTCTTAAAGGTTTGAGAATGCTAAACAAATGTATGTTATGCACATGATTCGATTTCAAGAGTTAGGTATATAATAAAAATGTTCCATTTCACAACATAGTCATGTAACTTAAAATATTCTAATCATAAATAGAAAAATAAAAATTATTTCACAAACATGGGAATCCAAGGCATTCCTGAATGATGCAAACACTTTTTTGAAAAATCCCAATTTGATGATAGCTAAATTTTCAATAGCAACCAGTTAGAACTTAAGGGAGAAATTAATTCGAGGTTAGCGCTTAAGTTTGTATAATTTACAATTATACAAACGATTTGCTAACTGTAGCTACTGGAAAATATATTTCCGTTTCAACCATTTCTTCAAAGAACTACCATGTGGTACATTATTTATAAAATTAATCTCTTCGAGCTTGCATACATCCAGTCATAACGAATACGGACTATTATGTGCTTATGTGGCCTCCGAAGTGGCCTTAATAAGCTACATAAGAAAATTAGGAATCTGAGGGCACATGATTTGGACGAGTTAGCAGGAACGGTGAAGAATGTGAGGTAAAAGTGAGGAGGCCTTTGCCTCGTATACTACATGTGCGCCAATCAAATGAAAGGCAACAACAAGTAAACGTCGGCAGTCAAAATTAGGTTAAGAAGTTTAGTCCTAAGTTTGTGAGTAGCAAATGATGATTCCATCAATTAAAATTCTGGATGATTTGGCGACATCTGAAAAATTTGCAATCTCACAGCTAAGTCCAGATTTGAAGAAATGCTTATCAAGTTTAGTAATGTGATCCATTATGACATCGATTTTCAAGTCATCACATGGATCACTTTGTTTCTAACCAGGTAATTAGCAATAACAGTTCTCAGAACCTTACTCTGTACTACGTAACATTTATGGAAATCTGCCTCTGAGGCTCACGCCCAGGCTGCATATGCGTAGCATAGAACTGGCCTTATAGTGCATTAGTATATATTCATCTCGTTTTGTTGAAGGATAGCCCAGAGTAATTTCCTGGGAGTACCATCCAGTCATTCGTATGAATTAAAACGTTTACACTGAAATGATTATTCTGCCGTTTAGAAGCTAATTCTCACAATGTCCCTAAGATGTAAAACACTGCGACTATTTTCTGATCAAAAATAAACATTTAATAGTGGTGTTCAACAAAATCAAGCTAATTTGCATTAAGCATTAATAAATAAGCTAATTTGAATTAAGTTATGTATTGCTAACATGTGATAAAGATGTTCAGATTTTAAGCCCGTTAATTTAGTAACCCACGAATTGTTAACTAATCAATTTTGAGAGAAGTCGTCTTAAAAATTAACTTTCCAATTACTATCGATTCCTATAATTCTTGATATACTTTTTCACAACATAAAATATATCGCAGACTTCTGAAACGAAAGGGCGCCAAATAATGCTAACGCGATGCTAATGCAATGCTATCCAAAAACATTTTAATATAATCTATGCAAGAGTAGTTTAGCTAATTTTTTATCCAGTAAGCCTCTTCAAACATTAACACGTGTAAGATTCCATGAATTTTCATCAGTTTTGCCTAAAAATCTCTTAGTCAATGTGGTACAGTTCTATAAGACAAATTACAGCTTTAAGTTTTATACAAGAAAAAAATGGGGTTACGCAATTCATACTTTACATACATCAGTAATGCAAGGAAGACGGTGCAGAATTTATCGTATAAGCTGTTTTAAAAAGTAAAAGGTGTTTATTAGTCCTTAAATATGAAATGAAAAGTGAATATTTACAAATTTACCAGAATAATGCACATAGCATTGTGAGAGCTTCAATATTCTTGAAAAACAAAAGAAGAGAGATGACAAAATAAAGTCAATTATAAAAGTTTGTTATTCTTACAGGCACTCCAATTAAGCTAATAAGAAAACAGTTGAAAACATTTTTGCTAAAATGCTATAAAAACATTTCTTTGCAAACTTTAATATTGCATGAATTTGTTTCCCTGTGGGATGGCGAACCAGTTGCCAAACTCAAGTAACTAGTCATTCGCTCAGTGTTCCTTTCTGAATGTTGGACTGCCTGTCTGTACGTAGTTATGACTTATTTCGTGAATAAAAAATAATGGACCAATTTGTTTTTTCCTCCGAAATGACCGTCCGATTTCTAAATTTGTATCAGATTGAGTGAGTGGTAAGAGTAAGTTCTGCTTATATAAAATAGAATGTTGATACATGTCGATTTAGTTTTTCTTTCTTATAGGCTAAAGGGGGGGGACATAGCTCAAAGTCTGAAGAGAGAAATGCGATTATACAGGGCGCTATTGAACTTTAAAAAATAAAAGACCTAAGTAATGATATTTACAGCGGCTATCAGTAAATACGTATGTGGCGGCCAAAACTGTTTTTAGGATATTGTCAGCTTCCAAGCAGCCCTGACATATTGGATTTAGGCTTCTTGAATGGCAAACATGCATTACAACATCAAGTTATACTTACCAATAGAGACCAATTTATGCAGGCTGTTTATATTCCAGTCATTGAGTTAAATATCTAAACATTCAAAAAAGACTCTTTTTTGACTTCACAGTAGATCATGGAATGCAGTATGCAGATTGATGGGGACATTACGTCACATAAAAACTACCGCACATGGAAAAGGCTATGCTTCGATATAAAAAAATGCGACTTTAATGCGACTCATGAAGCAATAAGTAATTTAAGAAATTAAACAGCAGGTTATATATAATAACAGTTTAATACTTATACAGTTGCTTGGTACTTAAATTATACGCCTTCATGTTAGTGACAGGGCAGGAAAAACATTGCTTTTAAAGTAGAACTATCATTTACTTATTATTTATGCAAAAAAGATAATCGTTCCGATACGGCTGAAGTATAGTATTCCCTGCAAAATTTTTATGGTTACCTGCAATTGTACCTCTTTAGTATAATCCAGTCTTTTGTGTGAACACGAAAATAAGTAGCAACCATCCTAAGATATTTCTGAAAATCCTCATCTTCAATCCTCATCTTCAGGTGCTTAGATTTTATTAAGCTTTTAACCTTAAGAGTTATGAGAAGTTAAAATGAGGAATTATCAAACTCCAGTAAATACTATTTACCTTTGATTTTGCAAACTTGAAGATGCGTACTCTAAACATAAGCTATAGCGAAATTTTGTTTTTTTGTTGAATTTTTAATACAAGTTATCAAAGCAAATGTTTTACGCAAGTATTTAGTATATTAAAAGAAATAGCTGCTTTCACAAATATGAATGATACTTATCGATCTCGGCGTCTGATACTCGCAACTTCTAATATCAAGTTACTATCTAAACTTAATGTTCAGGCTCTTTCTACTGCGTGAATTCAAATTTCTGGAAACAGCAATGAGCCAAACGTCTGGCATATTAGACAGTTATCTAACATTACAGTTAAAATTTAACTTTTCCAGTTTTACTTCGAATTTTTATCTTACCACATATCTCCTGTACAATTAATCACTAAAACATTTCCATAAAAGTGATTACAAAAATATTTTATATTTTAACAGTAGCAAATATTAAAGGAATGATCACTTTCTGTTTGAGATTACCGAGTTTATATTTGAAAGCATTTTTTGTAAAAGTATGTATGTTTTTAACAGCCATCAATCAATAAATACAAAAATTTGCTACTGTAAAGTCAAAACATGAGATTTTAAAATGTATTGAAAAAACTACTGTCGAGGCACCGATACATTTTACAATACAAACAACTAATGGAATATATATTTCAGCAAATACAAATTTTAGTTAATTATTCGAGTGCTAGTAAAGTATTTGAAAGTCCTAGTTATTTTTAGATAATATCTCGGAATAGGATCATATGGAAAACTAATTAGAGAAACCTAGCTTTTTGTTAAACTTGGTATATTCATTTGAATTACTTCGTTTTTTTAATCCGTTTCGCACCACTTAAGTTTTGCCATTTCTCCAGGGGTATCTCCCAAGGAGAGGGAAACCTTCGCGGGGACACTTTAAGGCAAATTGGCTCGTATTCACGTTGAGAAAAACATACGTAATCTCATGCAGCTAAGTCGACCTCTGGGTCGAACCACCTACTGTTGAATTGTTTGCCAACTCGGCCGCTGATGAGCCATTGCATTCAATCACATTTCTGAAACCTTTTTGTGAAGTTCTAGAAAATATAACACACTAAAAAGATCCATAAATTTTATTAAGATAATTCCTTTTTAAGAACTTCATAAACATTGAAAAATATGACTAGGTACACGAAAGTCAGCAGTATTAAGCGCTTAAAAAAGGATTTTTTTCCCTCCCAAAACAATAACTCAAGCTCTGTAGCATACATTCAGAACCTAATATTTTTAGTACTAGCATCAAACAAGAGGGGATAGTTCAAAATCTCCACAAATCCCGCTTCCATTTGGTAATTCTCCAGATGAGGAATTTTTCACATACTTTCTTCTCGGTGGTTTCAAAGGCAATTGATTTTCGTGAATTGGTTCAGGAGTCAAATTGAGAGAAATATCGGATGATGATGATCTGTATGTTGCACTTGAACTGTCGAACATATCAATCGCTAGCTAGAAAATAAAAAAAAAAGTTACATTTTAGTACAATGCATTAATGCTATTACTCAAATAATGAAGTGTTTAAAAAACATACCACTTTTATCTAGCCTTTGTAGTAAAAAATTCACTGTATTTCTTTCACTATAATGTGAATGAATAGCATTTTAAACGAAGCGCATTTTTGGAGGCCTCTTAAAAGAAAAAGAAATTTATAAAAAAACAAAATGCTTTATATACCACATCTTGAAGAAAATCAAGTTATTTAATAGACTACATCAAAGCACACGAGAACTTCATCTGCTTAATTGGAGGAATAGCTTCACAATATTACCTTACTAATGAGGAAATCGCAAAATAAATCAAACTAAATTTTGATTAGAGAATACTGTTAAGTATACTTCAATAAGGTTATTTGATTTAATTTAAACATACGAGGTCTTTCTTCCAAGGAAGACTGCCTTTGTGTGGCGCATTTTTAAGCCAGCATTGTTGGGATGAATAGCCAGTTTTTCAGGACATATTAAGAGATTTTGAGTGTTCCTTTGAAGCGTAGGCTTTTAAACACACTGACTTACACTTGTTGCGTTACAAAGGTAATATGGGAAAAAAGCCACTTTTTTCCGTGTTTTTAGGCATTTAGATAGGCTGACGGAACGTACAGAAAATCCATTTGGATATGTATTAACTACTTTAGGTATCGCACAAATTTAGCCAATTAGATCATGGCGGATCCTTCGATTGCTAATGTAGGGCCAGGTAATCATTTTAAAACTAGAATTTCAAGTATATTCACGCATTCATACACTTTTCTACTATTTATACTATAACGATTTACTCAAAAAGTCGTGAACGTCTTCCATTTGCAGCATCAGTATTTGGATATAATGGATATCTGTTCAATGATTTAATTTTTTGAAAGCATACTCGGTCCTTCTTGCTTAAGGGCAGGGATGTTTTCGTGAAGGACTTTAAGGAAAGCTTGCTGATTTCACCTGGGAAAACTAAGAAAACGCTTATATAGTCGGTCTGTTCTTTGATAGAACATATCATGTGGAAAATGACCAAGAGCTCATTTATCAAGCGAAAATTTTCAATTGCTTTTTGAAAGAATATTACAGAAATTTAAATATTTATTATGTACCTCATTTTGCCACTTTAAAAGGATGCAGTGCAAATGGAAATCCCATCTTAAAAGAACACTTGGAGCTTCTATGTTACAAAGTAATAATTCAAAATACCGCGTGTAAATCATACTTAAATCTCAAATCAATAGCTACTCTCAAATGTTTCCAATCGACATATTTTTTTATCTGGAACAAAAACCTTTACAGAAGTTGCTTTGAATTTGAAATACTAATGTGGAATAGGAATTGCTAATCAACTAAAGAGCTGGACATTAAAACCATCCAAAGTTTTGGGAAAAAACTGCTGTGCAAGACCTCTCACAATTGCAACCAGGACTAAAGTGGCTGACACTTAAGCCGGGCTCAAATATGAAAAATTTAGTGCTAATAAAAAGGATCATCTGTCTCTATTGTAAGGGAAGTTCGGAAAAAATATCTATCAAGATATGGCTACAAAGATGCAAGTTGGGAAATTAAAAACTTCAGTTGAGGAACTAGAACTGCCAGTTACAAAGCTTGACTTGAATCACGCTTCATGCATTTCGTGGTATATATACTTTTAAACTTAAATTTAGATCTATAATTTATTTTTTAGATTTAAGAATATTATTCTTGATTGCAAGAGTGTGTTAGGTATGATACTTTGATTTGATACTAGGCATGGGAGGAACTTATATGAACAATTACTTATTACGGATGGAAATGTTAAGTATCGTTGTGTTGTTAAGTTTCGCCGATGCACATAACGGCAATTATACCGGAAAGTTTCCAGATAAAAAACTGTTCGATTTTTGACCTCACCACTGCTGAAGTGCAAGTATTATTGGGGTATATTTAACTCTTATTGGTACTGTTATAAAGCACATACAGTACGACTCCAATTACGCAAACTACTATTCGAATCGCTTTCAAAATTTCAGATTATTTTCAAAATCAACTGAAGCAAAGGAAAAGGAGAAAGAAGCCCAAGAAAAGGGAAGAGCCAGAAGATGATGAAAATGACGTGTCACTTGAGGAATTAACATTCTTTTGAAATTCCTGGATATTCAAAAGTTAGTGCAGAGGATACAGCTGAATGGATGGTGTGTGATTTCGTCAGACCCTGGTTTCAAATTCTAAATGAGGATGAATTTATTGAAAGTGTGAGAAAAGAGTGTCGGGGAGAAAGATGACCTGAATGTCGAAGATGAAGCAGACAAGGGACCATCAGCTGGTGAAGTGTTTGCCGGCCTTGAAACTGCGATGAAGTGAATGGGGCGTCAGCCCGAGTGTAACCCCATGCAACTGCTCATTGTTAAGCGGATGCGCGACTTGACTGCTCGAAAAACGGATGAAGACAATCAAACAGCTTACTTTGATTCAGATGTTCAGCAAGCAATGACTTTTAACACTTTATAAGTACTATACAGTACGCTAAATAATATGCACGTAAAAGTATTGAGTTTTTGTTTTAATTAATTAAAACCTCTTTGTTTAAAAATAGTTTTTTTTTTTTTTTTTTTTTTTTTTTTTTTTCTTCCCCATTTTCAACATATAGTTAGTATATACAGTAATTAAAGTGTACGCAGACCTTTTCGTCGGAAAAAAATCAATTATCCGAATTTTTGATTATCCGAATGGGGTACGGTCCCAAATAATTCGGATAATTGGAGTTGTTCTTTACATTTATACAATAAACATGTCAACCGCTTAATTCTTAACTTTTGATAATTGATATTTTTGAACAGAAACAGTGTATAATTCTAGGCTCCTTTAAATGGCAAATTTCATTCTATGTATAAATCAATAAAAATACCGCCTCTTTAATTACCCACCAATCTATCTACATATGGTAACGCTTAACATTATTTAGATGTTATTTACTCAAAGATAATTGGACAGTGCGTAACACTATGAAAAATGTTGGTATTCATTTCATCGTACTGATTCTATCGTTAACGAACACATGTTTCTGCAAAAGCACTGACTGGATCTACTTTGCAAAGCAAGAGAACCATTTTGAACACACCTTAAAAAAAAAAAAAAAATGCTTCATGCTACTAGATTTATGAAGCATCTTGGATTCAATAACTACTTACGAGACAAAGTTAAATCCTATCCATCCAAATGTAGCTTTACTAATTTACAGTATGTACTTCAAACTAGAAGCTGAATCAAAGTTCAAAAAGGCCGAAAAGATATTTTTGTAAACTATTCTGAAAGTCTGTTTTCGTAGTTCTGAAAAACTTCACTGGTATTTCAATGAATTCAGAAAATGGAGTTTTAAATTTACCAATGTTTGCCTGATCTTAAATATATGTAAATTAATTTTCCGAAAGTTGGATATTTTCATCAGATTTTAAGCTTCACGTTCTCTATCAATGCTTTGCGAAGATTACTTGGAACACTTCTCTGTGTGTTTACCTTAAAATGACAAAGCACATGAGGGTATCTAGGGGAGAGGAGATGTGCTTTTGCAGATAATTTTCTGAGGGAAATTGGTTTGTATTCACGTTAGACAAGAGAACTTTAGCCAAATCTTTTCTACCACGCAAAATTAAACAAAGTCTACTTTGATTATTCCAGTATTCGCAATATGCCGTAGCTTTTATTCCTAACCAAACAGACTGCTTCTAATATGTTTTGACCATTTCTTTTATTAAGGAATTTTTTTAATTAAGCAGTTTTTAATTTAACACTAATTACAATTATTGTGCATTTTATAGACACTTAAGTTTAAACGAGTTTTCCCAGTATAAACTTGCACTACTTAAGAAATAGATGGTCCATATGGTTATAACGAAACGTTAATAGAAACCATTCCGATTAACGGGCGATACAAATATATTAGTACGGCTTTTGGAAGATCATTAAACAGTGATAACTAATTACTCACATGAAGACTCATCTAGGGACAATATATGGCACATTTATATTCAAATTTGATCCACTAATTAAATAAAGTTTAACTGAAATATGTTTCCTTTCATATACTTACAACTACTAAGCAGATCACGCAAATAGCTGCCAGAATAATAGTACCGTAAAATCCAATCGGCTTTCTGATGTCTGGTAAGGACTCCTGGCGCGAAAGACCATTCACTACAAAAGAAGCGATGAGAAAAGTATAAAATATTGTTGTTACTTTTACACCCCACACACGTGGTTTCCTTCGCTTTTTTTCCATTTCTTTCACCTGGAAAGATACTTGATTTTATTCATGTTAAAACCTAATGTTTTTAACCCTTTGCATCCAAACATTCTTTAGAATGTTCGATAATCAAGTCCAGGTCACATTTGTGCCTTTCCTTTTCCAGTGTACATTAAAATATTCTTTTTCTATAAAATAGTGCTAGTAATTTAGCCAACTAGTCGATAAAAGTTTAGGACATCGAAAACTTAGTTACTTTCTCTCAAAGTTTGGTTCCGGTGTCGAATTCAGGTGGTTTTCTGCTTTAGCTTAGTAGCACCAAATAATAGCACCGTTAGCTTAATAGCAAAAGCAGCTCATGATGCATAATATGACCTGCTGCTTTGTCTGCAAAGGATTAAAAACAATTTATGGTACTTACGGAAAATCCCGTCGACCATTTTTGCCCATTAAAGAAAAGACGCCAAACTACGCGATTTTTTGTAAAAATGAAAAACCTATTCTTCAAACAGGTTGGGTTTGGTGTAACCTTGATCATACGTATAAAGGCCGTTATTTTCGCGAAAATGAAGATATCTGTGATTTCGCGAAATTTGGTAAGTGAAAAATTTCTGATATTTTATTATTTGATGCGAAAAAAAGTATTTCGAGAAACTTATATTTTCTCGCAAAAATTAAAACCTAGCAAAAATAATTGCACTTACAGCATGTCTTCTTAATAAAAAATAATGGAAATTTTTAATGAAAAATTAAATATAAATAAATGATATAAAAATTTTAATAGAATGTTTTTCCTTGTATTTAGAAATTTTTTTCCCTTTGGTTTGGCGCCGTCTCTTGTGGTCGATGAGATTTTCCGTAAATACCCAAATTATTTATTACTGTAATACACGTACAAGGCACATTACACGAAAGATTATTTTTCCCATAAAAGCAAATAAAGCATCCTGTAGAAGGCTACTGTATTCCGAATAACGATACCAGATAATTGAATCAGTTATCGTAATAATTAGAATCCATTTCCTTGATTTAAAAGATAGCTGCAAATACAGTATTGCTGCATTATCAGAAAATGCACCTTGCGCGTACTATATTTCTCAAGTTTCATATTGAATATGTGCTGCTCATATGACCCCATGGAGGAGGATAGGAAAGAACAAGGTAGTTTCTTTTATGCAACCAACTCTCATAAATTGGTTTGTTTAATAGGAGTAATTTTGTTCTAATCTTCAATTTCTCTCAAGTAAATAACAAAAAGACATTTTATTTTTTATGATATATACTAATCTACAACAAAATATTACGAAGAAACAATTCACTCTCGATTAAAGTAACGTATTATTTAAACTTCTATTTAAATTATTCAATTTTATCAGCAAATTTAGAATTAATATTGTTTATAGTACAATTCTACTTCCGCAGTGTTTAAGAACAAATTTCACTAGTAATAATCAGATAGCCAAGCTTAATTTTACTTATTACGCGAAAAAATACAAATGAGAGTCAAGTAGATTGCTTTATATCACCTAAAATTGATGAGGTGGAGTTGACTATAAATAATATACTGTGTCAAAGAGCAAAGATTTCCATTTTTTAAATGCAGTTGAGTTCATTAAACTCTGCTAATAAATAAACTTTTTATGACCATAATCTGTCATTTTATACTAAAGTAAGCATCTTTTTTCGATCTTAAAATTTACTTATCATTTGATGAATGCCCTCTTAAGTGCTTATTGATATCCCAAATTTAACTGAAATGGTGAAAAATTTCTTCCTGTCGCTTTTCGATAGCTGTAGATCCCTTAAATAGAGAAAACGTTTATGAATACTATTTTTCCGAATACTAATTTTATGGACCCTTTCCAAATATGTAATTATTTATTTATATACACCATATTTATTTTAATATGAATATTTTCTATTAATGGGAGGTGCACACATTTTCCCACGTAAATAAGAGTTAGGCAACGCGATGCTCCAGTCTGAGATTCTTACCTCTCCAACTGAATTTTAAGTGCTGCACCTCGAAACCTGACACTTCCTAAAGAGTTCCTGAAGCAATACCGAAAACCAGTATTAAAGATTACTATAGTTTCAAAACTGATGATTTAGGCGGTTTTAAATTTCAGACAACTACATGATTATTTCCTTCAAATCTACCTAAAAATAAAAGCCCTTTGTGAGATATTTTTAAAAAAAAATTGAGCTTTGGAGTTTAAAACAATTTTGATCAAAACAATGATATAGTAGGAAAATAAGAATTAGATACAAAATATGTTAAATATGAAATGTAAAGCAAAGAAATTCGGTAGTATACTCTGAATTCAGAAAATTGCAATATATGCTTAAGCCCTTAGCATTTCATTACAGAAAGAGGTTACATCTTACAGTTACATCTAGTAATATATATAAGGGACGATTTTTTCCCTAAGCAAAAATTTTAAAATACAGTGCAAGGTTTCAGCCCTTAAATCTACTACTTAAGACTTTCAGTATTATTAAAAAAAGGACTGCATATTTTGGATACCAGCACCTTTTAAGCTTAGAACATTCTTTTCGCATAAGATGAACTAAAATAAATTTATTATAAACGTTAAATTGAACACACAAAAAAAGTGTTTAAAATTAGCATAATTCGTGAAATTCTTCCGGAATTTGCAACAAACCTTTCATTCATTACATCCTACGCAATATGCTACCTGTCTTTTTAGATATTGCGTCGTAACATTGCATTTTAAATAAAACACGACAACTCGAATATCATAACTTTACAGTTTACCTCAATTCTATATTCATGCATTATTTACTTTATGCTACTTATGGATTTTACTTTAACATTTAAAAACAAACATTGCAATCGCTTACGAAAGTCAAGAGGAGAAAAATAGCTTGTTTAAGTATTTAAACTGCTCATCACTTTAGCAATGTCTTTCCTTATATTCGAAAGAAATTTTAATTTTAAATATAGTTACTTTGAATTACTAAAAATAAATTAAGCACTTAATATCTTGAAATACAAGTATTTATATTCTTATTAAATACAATACTCTTTATAAATGTTCCGTTTGATAAAATATGAAATGTCGGATTAAATATTATATAAATTGTTTAACTTATGTATGTTTGAGTGCAAAGGAATAAAACTGTGCTACAATGCTACAGAATTTCTCCCAAAATTAAAAATTTGCTTACTCTTAAGGGCGACTCACACTCAGCGAAGACATCCGCCATGTTGGTATAAAAAGAGATAACAGAAAATGTGATTGGAAATTTATTTTGGTGGTTCACAGTCATGCGTTGAAACACATTAGAAACAGAATGTATGCAAATTGCAACGTGATGTCAGAAAACGTAAACTATACATATCATAGGAAGGGAAAATTAAATAAGAAATAGGTCACAAACGCTAAGGGAAAATTAAAAAAAAAAAAAATTCCAGACTTAAAGTGTAATTAATTCATTTTCTGAAAGTTTTAGATCAAAAACAATTTTTTTCATGCAAATACAAAGAATCTTCAGAGGTGCACACAACTTTTTTTTTACAATAAATAATATATTTTAGTAGCACAGAAATTTATACAGAAGTACTACTATTTTAATTCTAAAAGAATAATTTATTCACATATGACGGCTCATTTGTTCTACAGTGAATTAAAATTTTTAACTTCATATTAGAGGAAAGAATAACCCAAGAAATCGGTTCGCATATTTTCCCTCAATAATCTTGATAGAAGGATTGTAATCGATCATGTTTAGGCAATAAATTATGGGACATTATTGAACTTCAACTACGAATTACGGAAGCTGCTAGAAATGGAATGTCCAAAATGCTGTTCTTATCACTGCAATAGATAATCAAAATCAAAATAGATAATCAAATGAAATATTGCATGTACACTGCGGGGGAAAAAAATAGAGGGATGGCAGTTCTATATCTCCCTTTCTACTGGGACAGTTTCATATCTCCAGTACTACTGAACCGATTGACGAAATTCAACTTGCATTTTTCATGTCTCGAAAGCGCGAGTTAGGCTATATATTAGATATATATAAAGGAATTGTTCTAATATAGATATTTTGACACAAAATCGGACTTTTTCTGAGATAGCATACCAATTTTTTTAAATATTTCGATTCTACTACTCAGATTATGCCAAACTTCCAATTTTTGTAAAAATCGCACGAGTAGTTTTTTTTAAAAATTAGCTCTTAAAATTTTAGCTCCTCCATGTTAATTGAATTTGGTATATATTTATTAATATATCTTTCTTTGTTAAACTTATTAGACTCTCCCTTTCACATTTCGAAATTTAGGTTCATTCCGAATAAAATTCTCCCATATTTTTATGATTTATTTTTAAAACTTTATTTTTAAATAAATTTTATAAATTTTTAGAAAAAAATTTTGAATTATAACCTATGAAAATTTTACTGTCATCTTAAAGTATATGTAGTTCTAAGCATACCTGCAAAAAATTAGAGATTTTTATTCAAAATTTCTTAAGATGTACGTGAATTTACATATTGGCGCGTTTTCAAATTTGGCATATTGGTTGCAAGCGGTAATAACACCAAATATGGTTTATGCATTGTGTTAAAATTATTTGAAAGTATGAACGATACCCTTTGTTCCGCTCGTGTAGAATGAAAAAAATCTGATGTGTACACCACATGACTTCTTTGTACGGAATATTAAATTATACGCATTTTTTCTTGCATTTCATTTAAACTTATTGGATTGAATTAAATCTACTTCGCCGACAGCGCATAAACCACAATAGAATAAATGCACTCTTTAAAATTCACTCTAGTATTTGTTTACCATAGCGACACTCTGGCGCTAGATTCAATTAACAGTATTATATTTCGTTCATATTATAACTCAGAATGCACAAAATTTATATCATTTAAAGAACAGAATTATCTTATCGTTGCCACATGTTCTATTCAAATACTATAATAAAGCTAGAACGATGTATAAAAGAAATTAAGCAAACAAAACAAAAAAGAAAGTTTTTCATGGACGATTGAGTATTTCTCATTCAATTAATTCATTTCTCACTTCGCGATGAGGCAGAAATATATAAAAACTCAAAATTTCTGTATTAAAAATTACGAAGTAAATCTTAAACACTTATTCCCTCAAAAAAATTCCAGAAATGATTAAGTATGATTTAATTCGCAATAATAAAGGAAGACGTTATCTTTAGTGATGCGAAGCTAAGTTTCTCTAGATTGGCAACAAATCCGCTATCCTGCTGTTTCAAATGTAAACAAACAATGGCCGCCATCAAAAAAAAATATTAGGCTTAGCGGCATTTAAACAACTTTAAAATTGTCGATAATTCTAAAAATATTGCATACAGATTTATTAAAGGCATAAAAACCTTAACCGGAAGATAAGGGCAACATAATTCAATCATTTTAAAGCAAAAAATGTACAATTTACAAACATATAAGAGTAAAGAAACTGAGATCACTGAGCCGGGTAACAGAGTGAATATATATATAAATATATTTATATATGTTTGGCGCCGTCGATTGCAACCAAAATACGAGGTGCACATCTACATGTTATAGCAGTCCTATATACAAAATTTCAATGTTCTGAGGCTACTCGTTTTTGAGTTATGCGAGATACGTACGTGTATAAAATTCTTCAAAAGTTACCGGGGCACAGATTTGGAACCACTGGTTTAGACGATGAGTTAATGATCTTTCACTCACAAATGGCAATGGCTGACATAATTGGTAATTTTCCAGTCCACAAGGACAACTTTTACGTACAGGACATGACACGAAAAATGAAAATCATATACATACTTGCTTCATAAAAATAATAGAGATAAAAATTGCTAAGAAATATGTATATTATGTATATATATACAGGGTGTACCGTAAATGTTGCGACAAACTTCTAGAGGAGGTAGGCCACGTCATAAGGATTAGGAATTGAATAGGAACCTATACCCAGGAATGTCAAGGGTAAGTGGTGGTAAAAGATGGGAAAAGAAACAAGAGTGATTAATTTGAAATATTTGTTGGACATGAATACAAATGGTGTCCGACAGCTTGATGTTACAACAGATGCTAAGTTTGCACCATCACACGCCAAACATGCCTGACACCGACGGACCATTTATTGCCGGACATGTTCAAACACACCGGGAGTTTCTCTGATTGCAGCAGCTGCGCAGGTAAATCTTGCCACGAGATCCATTTTACACACAACAGGATCGTGATACACGACACTTTTGATGGCTTCCTACTAAAAGAAATCAGGCTCGATAAATCCGGTGAGCGTGGGGCTAGAGAACTGGTCCACCACGCCCTATTCAACGATGCGGGAAAGATGTGTTCAAATGGCTACAAACAACCAGTCCGAAATTAGAAGGGGCTCCATCATGTTGGAATCACATGTTGCGCCTCACATTTGGTGGAACATTATCAAGTAAATCGGGAATTACATGCTCCAGAAAGATCAAATAATTCGCGGCATTCAAATGGTCCGTCGGTGTCAGGCATGTTTGGTGTCAGATGTTGCAAACTTCGAACATATATTGTACACCATTTGTATTCATGTCCAATAAATGTTTCAAATTAATCTCTCTTGCTTCTTTTTCCATCTTCTACCTCTCCTAGCACTTACCTCTGACATTTCCGAGTATAAGTTCCTATGCAATTCTCAATCCTTATGATGTGCCCTACCACCCCTAGAAGTTTGTCGCAATATTTACGGTACACCTTGTATATAGGATGTTTATAAAAAAACTTGATATATGAACCCCTAGTGGCCTATCTGCTCACCCAATCGAAATGAAGTTTCATGCATTGTTAGTTGAAAGTATGCGCTCGACATTGAGATTATTTAAAATAATAGAGCTCCCGAGGTTACGGTTACAGTGAAAAACCTTTCGAAATTTTCGAATGGCAACACCCACTTTTTTCCTGCGCAAACTGATCAGGGCACTGAAAAACCATAAATGACGTTGGAACGAAAGTACTCAGTTTGCTTATAGTTGAGATAATATTTAAAAATAAATTTTATAGTTGAGACTCGTTATTTCCATATAGGATAGAACTATTAATCTTTTTATGGTCATTAACAAGCTCAGCTCGCATTCCAGTTACTCACCGTAGTGAAGCAAACGAACACAACTAATAATACAAATTTATGACTGACAGATATTGCGCATATTTGAAAAGAAAGGATAGCTTAATCTCGCAACCGTCGAAGGGTTAAAGATCTTACGCCACAAGAAATAGAGATCTGTCAACTTGCGTGAAGCTGCTGGAGGTGGCAATGTAACCTAACCTGATGCGCAAAATAGAAAGACTATATATATAAATATAGACAATAAGGATATAAACCTTTTTAGAATCAGCAAAAAAGAAAAAGAAGAAAAACTCCAATAAATATTTCTTAAGACATGCTTCTTGCAATCCGTTAAAATTTCGGGAAAAATATCGACAGCAAAACAGTTTGCTAGCAATTATTAGCAACAATTAACCCATTACAATAAATAAAAGAAGAAATCTTAAAATATTTTCCGAGTTTTCTTTCCAAGGGCTATGAACAAAAAGTGCTTTCATTTTTTAGAAGATTTTTCACACGGGAATTTTGCCTCTGCAGCATTTCTGATATAAAAGCATGGAAATATTTAACATTCTATTGCCTGATTTAAGGTTTTTCTCCAAATTATACGCATTGGCGATTCTTTGGCGTCTTTTCTTTGCTGTTTTCAGTCATTATCTTCAAAAGCTGAGGCGTGAAACTTGAATATTCTGACATTTATGGGGAATTGTGGTGAGAAAGGGAATACCGCGGGGGGCGATTTCCCCCAACGTGGCGGTTATTGTAAGAAGAAAGTTGTTATTAATGTCTTATTTACGCTGTATTTATTGGACCGTGTCCTGGGATTTATGTAAGACATATTTTTAACGCATTTTGTGGTTTCTTAGCATTTAGCGACATTATTAAAGAAGCATCTGATAAAAGAATAAACAGATAAAAGAACACAGGAAAAGGTCGCGATTGGGAAACGTTCTCAGTGTGTAAGAATTGGAAAACTTATTTTTATTTTTTAATTTATTTACGCCTTTTTTGAAATTCTTTCTCAAAATTTAAGCATTATTATATCCGAATGCAAGGAATATAGGTTATTGATGAAACGTAAAATTACTCAACTGAGAATAACACAAAACAGGAATAAATAAAAGCCGAAGAATTGGATGCATTAGGGTATACATGTTAGATATAAAACTGCATTAAAAAAGGCAAATGATACACAAAC